GTCTCAGCTTCACAGCCTAACTTTAAGAGTTCTCAAAGGGTACTTACAAAACGTCTCTACAGTTTACACACCTGCACCCAAACAGCAGGTTTGTACCTTTGTACTGCAGAGACTCAACTACACAAACAGGGTACAACACTATGCAGGCAAAGATGTTAGCAACTACTGTCACCCAGGAGAAAAGGAGAGCTGACACCCTCCAGCCATGAGGAGAGACCCCGGCCAACCTGCACCAACACGAGAGAGGCCAAGCACTGGGGAAAGAGTCATTGTTCACACAAGTTCTCAGTTCAGACACAGATAAATATTTCATTTGGTGAGCAGAGAATCAAACCAAAGCTTTACCATGGGAGGCACTAGATTTCAATGCACTATGCCAAATATCAGAAGCTTCCCCGGAGATGTCAACTCTCCACATGGCTACAACAGAACAGGTTTTGCACTTTAAAATGGCATTTTTCAGACTCTGAGGCTGAGAACTTTAAATTTTTATAATTCTGTTCTGCTTTAGTCTCATTTTAAATACAATTCCTAACAAAAATGCAAGGAATTTTCTTCTGCTTCTGTATTTATGTCTATAACCTTTCGGGACAGAAAAATTAAGAAGCAAAAGTTGCAACTTAACCATATGTAAAAACTGAACAGCAGTAAGGGGTTTAGAACTACTTGTACTACAACTTTCATGTGGAAGGTCACAACAGGAAGGTAAATATGTGCAATAAAGTGCTCTCCAGAGACAGACTAAACAAAGAGCCCCACCCCTCTTCTCTGCAATCAGGAAGTTCTCAGCCAGAACCCAAGAAAAGCAGCTTTGCCAAGACCGTCACTCATCCAGGAAAAATGAGGATCCAGATGCCAATTACCACGAAGTTAAACATATTTGGTACCAGCCAAATAAACAGGAACAAAAAGAAAAAGTGCTGGGAGGGGCAGCACCACACAGACTCGTCTGACTTGTGTCCACAGGCAGCAGAGTGACTGAAGTGCTTATCTTGAGATGCCCAACCTGCAGCACCAGGCTGTACAGGAGTTCAAACTGCCTTTTGCCATCTGCTTCCCTCAGGAGTCCATCCCACAGAGGGTGAGAAAAAGGACCTGGGCCAAGGCAATCACATGCTGAGAGCCATCAGGCTGATGACTACAACCTCTATTAAGGGATAAGCAGAGCTTGTTCCAGAGACATGGGGGTTTACAAGAGCCACATGAACAAAATGCAGCTGCCCCAGCACGTCACCAGTGCAGGAACATCCTCAGAGGTGCACAAACACACCAGGCTACAAGACCAACTGCCAAGCATAGACAGGTGCCTTGGTCATAAGCAATGGGAGACAGGTCCCAACACAGCCCCAACATGCTTTGAGGTGGCCCGTGAGAGCACCCTAGCCACTGGGTGAGAAACACTGACATAACCTATGTGACAGGTCTTCCCACATTACAACACTTTGCTGGTTCCTTCTCTATATTGTAACAACACTCATATTTAAAGGAAAAAAGAAAAGTCTTCATGCAGGCTGGTTTACATTTCAGTCTAGACAACGCTGAGTAATCTAACAGAACACTGTCAGTGCAAAGAAAGCTTACAGCTGCATTGTATTATTTAAATACATTCTGCTTCCCAACAGACACAGCTTTAGCCCTACATAACACACCTAATTTCAGAGCACTGGAATTCTTTCCAAGAATTATCTTACCTATCATGATGAACTGAGAGTCTGGTGTGAATGATGCCTCCAGCGTGACAGCCTTACTATTGTTATAACCCTATGGCACAAAACAGAACACATAGTAGAGAGCGTGTCCACAGCAATCTCACAACCAAAGGGCACCTGCTCCCAAAACTAACACCAAGTTCCAAGCAAGGATCAGAGGCAGCAGGCTCACCCCAAACGTGTGCAGGACAGCCCCTTTGAAGGCATCGATGAGCCGGATGAACCCGCCGTTGGTCGATATGAGGATGAGTTTCCCGTCATTGCTGAACTTCAGCCCTGTCCACTCACACGTCCGCTCATACTGCATCTTAAACGTGGCAAATGGCCCCTGCAGAGAGAGAAATGGGAAACAGGATGCAGACTCTTTATGAATTGCTGCTAACAAGAGTCTGTTTTTAACCTTAGCTGAGGAAAAATGAGATTTTTTTTTAAAGGGAAATCCTTAGCCCTAAGATACCAAGAGTGTCATGGCAAACATGTCACTGCACATGCACGTTTCAACATATGAATCCACAGCTTCCAAAACAGAAAAGACCCAAAGTGAGGTGTTTCAATCCAATAGTTTCATACTATACCACATTCGACAGCAGAAATTAATTTAAGATAGGATGAAGTTTTGAAACAAGGTTGCTAAATGAAGTTAAGAGTTTGAGCCAGTGTAACTGTCATATGAGTTTTGGAAAACACGGAAATCACTACGCTCAGTGTTTAGTTCAGCTGTCCATCCAATTATAGTTTCCTTTGAAATTTCCATCCTTTCTGACAGTCCTGGCTCCATCTTTGCCAGTCTTCTTCCAGAATCAGCAGCAAGGGAAAAAAAACAAACCCAAAAATCCCTAACAAAAAGCCGAAATGGGGGTTTGGAACAGGTTAAAGCGTTAGCAGAACATTGGTACAAGAGCGTACTTCAGGATTTGGTGACAGCACGGATCTCTTTCTGTCTGTGATGTGTGTGCTTACTGAGAACTCCCTGGATGCCAAGGAGGCACCCCAGACAGTAAGATGGAGCACAGAAATCCAGCCTCTGAGCACTGAGTTTAGACTATTTCTTGCAAGCTAAAAACTCTAAGGCAGATCACCTTGTCAAAAGAACGGAGGTCATAGAGCTTCACCATTTCAGAATTGACTCCAGCAGCAAAAATCAATCCTTCTGGGTCAAAAGAACACACAGGCTTCCCCTGGAGATGCATTAAGCCCTAGAAAATAGAAATAGTCAACATTATTTTGCAAAACTGATGCTCGCTTTTCTACCATCACATTTGAGCCCACTGTGAGCAGGACAGCAGACCAGGGTGGAACAACAACATTTCATTTGTAAATACTGAGGTTTTACAAAGGTTCAGAACTCAGTGAGCAAGCCAATGCTCAGGGCCTGGTGAGTGGGCCAGCTCTGGTTTCCTGGGAATGTTCCAGGCAATGTGGCTGCCATCTCATGGGCCAACTGAAAACTACAAGTAACACTTCCCCAACCTGTTTCCCAAACTTGGTTGGATGCAGAGTCCCGTTACAAGTCCTAGTTTTACCATTCTTACAACTTCAAGCATTAGGATAAATCGCAGAACCGCTGCTGAATTTACAACCCCATCTCATCTGCAGCAACTCAGAGACTGAGATTCATCCCAAGGGAAACTTAAAGGCTGGCATTAAAGGCACACTTCCATAGAAAGGCAAAATAAAGACTTGTTGTCAGAAAAAGCTCAGTTTTAAGACAGATAGAACCATTTAGTAAGAAATGTAACTTTGTCTTCCTTTTGTATTTACAGATACATCACCTGGAATAAGCAAACAGCCCTTTCTCATAAGCAAAATAGTCCAAATGAGATGGGAAAATATAAGAGCACAATACTATGTGTCCAGATATAGGGACAAAACAGCTCACCACCACTAAAGGTGGAGATTATACTCCCAGTCTTTCATTCCTGCCACTGCTGCCAGCTCTGGTACTTTTCTCAGCCCACACAACCCTGCTTCCACTAAAAAAAGTGAAGTATTCCAGCAGAATAAATAAAAACAAACAGGGTTCTGCCTTGCCAGAAAGTGAAATCTGCTTACAAACAGTTCTGATGAACCACAGAGGTGATGCAAGGCAATGGCAGGACCATATGGCTGCCGTGTTACTTTAGATCATCAGTTTCTTCATCAAATTTAATTGCATCAAGGCACCAATTTTAGACACACGCTACGAACACTCAGATAAGATGCATTTCCAGCCCAGGAGGGATGCCAGCTAGGAGAGTAGCAGCCTGATGAACAAGCTGATGACACCCAGCCCTTCTCTTGTTTCATCAGCTGTGGGTGTTCTTTCTTGCCCTTCTGCAGTGCCTCTCCAGCAGAGACACAGGTGAGAGCGAGTGGTGTCACACAACGTGACACACAAACTGCACAGAGAGTCCTCATCCAGGCTGCTTCAGCATTCCAGGAAGGGGCCAACACTAAATCAGCAGCACATGCTTCTGGCAGTACTTTTGCCTTGTAACATGCACACATCCATTTTTCATGCTTCTAAGTGAAAATGCAACACTCTGTGAGCATGAATTTTGTAATCTACCTGGCAATTGGGAGAGCGGAGATCCCAAAGTCGAATAGTTTTATCGAGGGATCCAGAAATAAAAGTATCATCCACTGGAGACATTGAAAGAGCAACCACCCTGCAACACAGAAGCCCACATGCATCAGAGATACATAAAAGAAGTGAATAGAGCAACACCCACCCCAACAGCTGTGCACAACCTCATAATTGCCAAGAACAGAGCGAAAAACAGTGTGAACCAAGTGTAACAGAACTCAGGCTCATTACAATTGTTGTTTCAATTTCTGCTGTCCTGTCTCCAGGCCACATCTTACCTTTTTGTGTGCCCTGGGAAATACCGAATGTATTTGTTGTCATGCAGGGAGAGGTATCGGATTGTATCTGAAAACATAAACAAACCATAAGCTTTATTATACCATGAACCCAATGGCATCTAAAAGTTACTGATCACACAGTAACTTGCTCCCCAAAGCAGCAGCAATCTCACCAAAGTGGGTAAGTCTGGTCATCTGATTTCAAGTCACCCTTTCAAAAAGAATCAAATTAGAAACAGACATAAAGCAACTCGGTTCTTCTCAAGGCAGAAGTGAAAATCAGGCAACAGGAAAAGGTGCTTCCCACAGTCTGAAGTCACATTACATCTTAAAGACAAAGTGTCATGTGATTTATGCAAGATAATTTCAAAGGCACTAAAATTTAAGTACCAGCAGGTTTTATTTCATCATTCTCACAAAATGAAGAATATCAAATTTACAAAGGTGATGCTACTGCTTTTTTATTGCTTTGCAGCACAAATCTTGCTGTCTTTCCTGCATAGAAATTCAGTAAACAAATCTCCAACTAAGCAGTACATACAGGAAATGTGCAAATTCTGCCATTCGGCTAAAAATAAAAACATGTATTTGAAAGCCAGGACAAAACCATTAAAAACTAGCAAATCTCTCTGATTTTTGTTTAATCTGACAATGAACAGCCTCACACTTTCCCTGCACTTAGAGCAGCTAAGCTTTAAGAAGAGGACAGAGGAGTAATCTAAAGCTTAGTCCACATAAAGCAACATTAAAAATAAATGGAATAAATAAGAGCAGCACCACAACATTTCTCAAGTGCCAATTTTATCCTGAGTACAGATTAATATAACAAGAGTGGTCAACACTTTTGGAAGATGCTGTTGAGACTTTCTTCCAAAATTACAAGAAATCCTTGTAAGAGGAAACCATTACTAAAGCACATAAGCCACTTTTTAATCTTTATGTGCAGACTCTGTAGTGCTGGAACAAGTCCTGGTGAGTCTCCAAAGAGAAACTGAGGGAAAAGGGCATTTTTACTTCTGACTTGGAAGAACGAGAGCCAAGAGGAGGCAACAAGCACTGGGTGTTTTAACACTCAGAAGGTCTACAGTGTTCAGGGTGTTCTGAAAGGCTCATTCAGAAAAATTTTCTATCTGTGATAAAATTATCAAGTTCTCATTTTTGCCTAAGATTTCTCACCAAGCTGAGACACCACCCCCTCCAGTATTTGACCAGAAAACTGAACAGCACATTCCCGACTGACCAAGCTGGAAACGTGCTGCTGGTGACACGCCACTCTGAAAGGCTCTAAGTGACCTGAGGTGATTATCCAAAACAAAAATCCCCACTGCCGGTGTCACATCCCATCCTGGGAACACACTTCAGATGTTCTGTTAAGACACATCATTTCCTGCAAGAACTGTCGTTACCTGATTTCCCAAGTATCCGTGCAGAATCCCATCTTCTTTGCTAAAGAGGAAGCACTGTGGAACTGTGCTCCCTTGTGATCCTGGTTGCTGGCAGTGCTCTGTCCCAGGCAAGGCAGTGGCCTGTACAGTTATCTCCTGTACCGGGTGGTATCATAGACCCTCAAACTGTACAAACTACTACCTCAGCCTGGCATCAGGCAAGAGGAACTAGGTCCAGGGATCTTCAGGAAATCTTCACAAGTACATTGGTAGCAACTCCAACAGAGAAAATGCTTGGAAACAAGCACCAGCATTCCTATAGCATGTTTCTGAGTTAATTTTACCTCCTGATACCTGCATAATGGGTTAAATACAATGCACCTTGCCCAAGACCACATTTAGCAGGGACTAGAGAGTACCTGGACTCCTACAGTCAGTTTTATTAGGCTTACAGATCATAACAGCAACAAATATTCTCACATTCTATGGGTCTTTTTTCTTCTAACTAAGTATTTATCATAATGCTAGCCTGCAGGATGAAGACTCTTTAATCTTAAGGCTTACCAGTGCTTATAAACAAAATCTCACAATTCAAAATGGCATTAAAAATGCTTCATTAAATTGTTAGTTATTAATTATCGTAAATTAAATAACAGGCAAATAAAAAAATGTGACAAAGTAACGATATAATCAAAAAATTAAATAGGCTCTGAAACAGACTAAAAAGGCAAGTGCTTCCTGTCACACTCTTAATCCTTTTACACCATTAAATCCAATTCCATTGAAGACTTCCTTGTTCCTCTGGTTTCAGGCCTTAACCTGACTTCCTAACTCTTAACTTCCACCTGCTCTAAATTCACAGTCTTTGAAATTCCTTTAGTAATCCAGCACACAGTACAAGGCACCAGTAGCTCTACTGTCAAGCTCCATCTCTGCAAAGGAAAAACCCAACAAAAACCTCTATTCCAGAAATGATCATGAGTTTACAAATATAATGTTAAAACCCATTTATAAAGTGCTGTGCTAAGAGACTTGTTCACTGCAAAACTCTCCGACACTGACTACAGCAAACAAAACTGAAACACATTTTGAAATAAACATGAGCTGTTTCCAACCTCAGGAAGCACTAAGGTACATATCTGTGCCAGTTGTTACATTTGAATTTTAAATCAAACTCAATTAATAGAGAGCCTGTCACGAAGACCTAGAAGCCCTTCAGCGTCAGTGATTTAGAGCGTAGCTATCACAGACATTGTGTGGAGAAACAGCATAAAAATGGGTCTTCTGTCTAGTACATGGACAGAAACAGGCGATGAGAAGCAAAGCTCATCTCTGAAGAGCTCTGTGACCTCCTCCAGGCTTGGTTGGTGACCTGCTGAGTTACCTGAACCTCCCGCCCTGCCCTCCTGTGCAGCTGAGCTGTGTGTGTACCAGACAGAGCTACGGCATTCAGTCCACCCGCTCCTTCCACCTCATTCACATGTAGGAAGTTAAGGTGCAGAGGCTGACTGACAGCACTGGTACCAAAACCCAAGTGAACAGCAGAACTAAGAACCCAACTTTTATTTCACTAACAATGTTCAATCCCTTAGTTATTGCAGCAAAGAACAAATCTCACATCAGCCTGCTCGAGGGGCTATCACCAAGTTGTGCATTAGTGTTGGACCGTAATTCCTCTGTCTCTGGCAGAGTGCTCACCACTGCAGGAGTTGCTGTAACTTTTTCCCAGATCTTCAGAGCTAATTATCCAGACATGTAGTGCAAAGAGATTCAATATGCTCCACTCCAGTGGCTCACTTACCATCTATTTTGTTGGAGCTGTACACGACAGTGTTGGCAGCGTGTGTGTACCTGATGAGGTCCACTCCATACTTCTTACTGTACAACGTTCTCTTTGGTCTGTCGGGAGGAAGCAGAAATAATTGCACTCACTGCAACAAAAAGCTCAAAACGAAACTCACACTAACAAGGCCTCTCTCCATTCAGGTATTACATCATGGTTTCAAGCAGTCCGATGTTTTTATACGAAGAAAGAAAAGCTTTTGTATTTGATTTGCAAAAAAGGACCTCGATGTTTCTCCACAACCAACCCTAGGCTTGAGGAGTTCCCTGTAACACCTGCAAAATGCACTTGTCTCCTCCAAAAATTCCTTTTCCCATGATGTCTACTGCAAAAAGAAAAGGAGAAGCTAACATAACAAGCACAGCAAGCAGCACTACCTCACTGTGCCCTTGCCCATCCATATCTCCAATTCATCTGCTGCTTATTTTAGATTGAGAATAGTTTGTCTTTTTGTTCTCTGTTACTTCAGAACCTAGAACAAGGTGTCTCATTCCTGTGGTATTAACCTAAACAGGCATATATACCAATAATCTATAAAAGACATGGTAACACAGGAACTTTTCCAAAGGACTGCAAAATTATATTTGAATCCAATCTTAAAGCATGAAACTCAAACATTTTACAACAGAATGAAAGACATTCTAGTGAGAGTGGATACAACCTACAGAACTGCATTTCTAGGGGGCTGGTAAGCAGGTGATGCACTGCACTACTAGAAATTTAAAGTGCAGAGTAAATCTAGAAGCAGCTGGAGGATCTCAGAGCAGCAGTGCCTGTCTGATCAGCACAAGGTCTCTACCACTCTCCTTCCCCTTTCACCCTCAACTGAGGTAGCACAGAGGTTTCTGGGCAGCCAACCAATGAGGGTACTGATCAACACCAGAAATATCACCTCTTCTGGGAATTATTTTTAATCCAGAAATTCGTAACTCTGCTTATTACATGGGCCCACAAAGTATTTTACCAACACAAGCAAAGAGGACAACACGAGAATGGAAACAAACAGCAGGAGCGGTCGAAACCAATACTGCTGCCAAGGGAAAGGTTTATCAGACTACACCCTCAGACAAGGCATTTCTAATATGCTGGACTTTTTCCTTCTTTTCATTCACCTCAGACTGACACACCCAAACAAGAGCACGAGTGGGACACTTTTCATATCAGAAGGAAAACAGACATTCATTCTTACAGATTAATTCTAAACAGCAGAAGCCACGGGGCTTTACCTTCAAATGAACTGGCTGGGGACAAGCTTCCACTAAGTAGAATGCAATATAGAAAGTGTAATGAAAACCCACACGCCACCTGTACCACAGACCGAATCTCAAATGATTCTTCCCCAGTTACTGCAGTAGATTTTCAAATCAATTTTCAGATGCAAACACACTACACACTGAAATCAACACGCCAAATTTAAATTTTGACACTCCGTAACATTACACCTGACATAGTTCCCCATACTGCCTTCTGCAGTTACCTCACTTAGGCTGCCACCTGGGTAACCATTGGTTACCTCACCTATGGCCAAATTGGGGAAAAAAACTCCAACAACAAACTAACAATGGCAAAAAAAGCCAATCTCAAAACATTAAGACTCTCGTAATTTGGCTCATCCTTTTCTATTACAAATTTAAAGCTTAGAAGCTGCTCCATTCAGAATCAGTGAATACACACAGAGACAACAAGGATCAACAGATGGGCAAAAGCATATTTACCAAAAAGAAGGGAAAAAGGACTTCTGTGCTTTAGGAAAGGTGAAGTTTTCACGTAAGCTGAGACAAGCAGAAGTGTGTCACTGCACACACCAACCACCTGTTGCCAATCCACTATTTTAAACACAAACAAGGAAACAGTATTTTTTAAAATCAAATCACAATCACTAAACATAATTCCAAGGTCAAGGTTAATGTACCCAGCCCACCTGCAAACTAAGCAGTATTGCCAAAGAAAAATATTTTACAATAATCTCAGTCAAATCTGCTACAAAGATGAAATGGAACACAGGTGAGGTTTGTAATATCATCTGTCCCTTGGTCTGAATCACTGCTGCCATGGGTAAAACATCCTCCACAACCAGGATCATGGATATGCCAAGCAAACACCACAGCCAAGCAGGAGCCAGATCCATCACTTTATTTGCATAAATAATACACAATTGATATACAAGCTTAAATTAAAATACAAGCTAAACCTTTGCTAGAGCACCATCTATCAAATCAGGGTGATGTATGTGCAGCCAGGCTGTTCCCAGCCCCAGGGACTGCTGTACATCACAACACACAACTGCCCTACAAGTTTTCAGAGTCCCTCCTTAAGCCCAAACGCACACAGGTGAGCCTCTTGGAGGGATGGGCTAAAAAAATAGTAACAACAATTTAGTTGTTTTCACATTTTGAAATAGAAGCGGTGTCTCGGGACCAAAATTATTGGATGCTCATGAATAAGCGGTTGCTTTAGCCCAGGACATACACGATAAGGAGATAATCTTGTCCTGTCAGCCCTTGGCTACATAGCACCATTTCAACTGCCCTGTCAGAAAGCGAAGTTCACAGAGATGGGGTTGGTCATATTCTCATAGAGCTGTACAGCTCATTTTAGCATTGCAAAACAAAGCAAACCAGGTGAGGCCGTACCTAAAGTATAACCAAACAGCTGCATTTTAGTTCTCTCAGCAGAATTACTCATTAATGGGGCACCACAAATTTCTCACTTTTACATGGAAAAAGGTGTTAACTTTCAGGCCATTCGATGAAGCACTGGTATCCTGCACTGAAACCCAGCAAGCAGGACATTTCATGTCCTCCTGGCCGTTATATCCATCAGCAATGACATACACAAGCAGGTGAGAGTTCTGGGCCCTGGAAATGGTGATTTGTAAGAGAAAACATAAACTGTAGGCCTGAAACTGCCACACCAACAATCATTCACAGATCTGAGGTTTCATCTTCATATGAATCTCCGGTGACAAAGTAATTCACAGCTAAACCTTTCCAGGTGAAAGAAGAAGCATGTCCTGCATCCCTGGGTACCTCTAAAAATCCCAGCTACACTTTTAACTCAATTGATAGCACATGAGAAACTTTCAAATTAATTTTTATAGTTTTATAACACTGGAGAACTGCATCCTGGCACAGGGGTTACCTTGATGACACTATTTTCATTGCCCTGCAGCAGATGACCATCGATCTACATTTAACTTAATTAAAGCAAACCCTCTGACTATAAAACACACATCAGGACTAGATGTAGATCAGAATGAAAGGACCAAATGCCTCCTAACCCATCAAACTATTCTTTACACGTTTGGAAGGGGAAGAGCAATCAATACCATCTGCATTAACATCACTCAGCCCTGTCACTGTTGTATATCATTAAGATCTAGGATACAATCCATAGCAGGCTCCACATGTATAGAGTTACCTGTTCTTACATAAATAAAAATTAAATAATTTCACAGAAGACTTCACTCTATCAGATGGGCAACGCCAACAACTTTAATGTGTAAAGCAAGCAAATATAAGTCTAAAATAACATAGGTGGCCTATAAAATTAAGAAAATCTGCAGAATGCAATCTTTCATCCCTGCAAGTATGATGTCTTGGTCTGCTTGGAAAAGTAGGAGGATTAGGAACACATGGGTCACTAGAAAATATACACAATACTGACACATCTACATCCTGACACTCCCAAGCCATTTCTTCTTCATTCCTGCCTTACCCTGTCCTTTTTATACTCTCTTCTACAATACACATACTTGTTTTCCTTTCGTTTTTTGTGTGGATGTGATGCTCCCTCACCTTGACTTTACAAAAAAAAAAAAAAAAAAACAAAAAAAACCCCCAAAAAATCACCTCAGAACTACACCAGGAAGCAAACATAAGTTAAAACTTCAAATTTAAAAGAATTTAAAGCAGCCAGACCCACACCTGTGACAACTGAGGAAGAATTTAATGGAGTAATGACACCATTTGGCTCAATTTGTTCCAACTCTCACAGAACACAAATGCCCTCAGTGTACCTTCCAAGCCATCAACTGCAGCGTCACCATCTGCAGGTTTCCATCCTCTGAACAGGAGCACAAGATCCCAAATGCCCCGCAAATTTCTGGGGGTTTACCCAAAAAACGGGACAAGCGTCATGTGATCAATGAAGTGAGAAACACACACCCCTCAACTCATTGCTTTTAAGCAACAGAAGGCAATAAATCCTTGATTGATTAAATGTAAATTAAGACAAGGTTTGAAGGCACGTGTAAATCACACATGTATTCTTACCGTGCTTTACAGGTAAGAACCCGATCAGAGAAAAGGATTTAAAGCACGAAGGACCACTCTACCTTCGACATTCCCAAGCACCACGTGGGAAGTGGGTTTTAAGGAAAAACACCATCAGGTTTTTTAGAAGTTACAGCAACACACATATCCAAAAAGTTGCACTCGAATGAGGTAGTTTAAAGCGGCACAGCTGTACATTGCTCACAGCCATCGTTTCTCTTTTAATTAGCGACACTGAAGCGCAGAGACACTCGAAAAGTATCTGCAACAATCCCGACGCCTGAAAACATGGCCAGACTCAGCCCCTTAAGCTTGAGTTTAGCCCTCGCAGAAGTGAACCCTCTCTCATACTTGGCAAATTACCACCGCTGCCTCCTATCTAGCGAGATAACAAGCGCGGACACCCGCGGTGCAGACAAAACCACGCTGCTCCTATTTCTGCCGTTGGGATTCTGTCACGAACCTACGCTAAAAAAACGAGAGAAGCCCAAGCTGAAGCTAAAACCAAAGTTCACCTGCCAGACCTGCGGGGCCGGGCACAGCTTGTCCCCCAAGGCCACACGGGCAGCCCCGTCCCCCCCCCGGCACTGCTCCAGCCCCAGCCCGAAGGCTGCACCCCCCGCCCCCGGCCGGGCCCGGCACTCACTTGCCCTCCTGGCAGTCGTAGAGCACGATGGAGTCATCGTCGCTGCTGGAGATGACGGTCTCGCCGTTGGGGCTGAAGTCGAAACAGTTGATCTTGTCCGAGTTCTCGCGGAAGACCTTGGCCACGCGGAAGCTCCGCAGCACGTTGTCCGTCAGCTTCATCCCGGCCGCCGGGCCGCGCCGCGCCGAGGGCGGCGGCGCTCAGGGGAGAGCCGGGCGGGGCGCCGGGGCGGCGGCGGGGGCGCGAGGGCCGGGCTGGGCCCGGCGGCGCGGTGAGAGGCGGCGGGGGGGCAACGAGGGGCGGCGGGAGGCAGCGAGAGGCCGTGAGGGACGGCGGGGAGCGGCGGGGGGCCGCGAGGGGCGGCGAGAGGCCGTGAGGGGCGGCGAGTGCAGCACGCTCAGGCCGCGGAGAGGCGGCTCCTCCTCATTGTGTCCGCCATCTTGCGGCTCCGGCGGGGCCGCGCGGGGCACGCCGGGAACGAGAGGGGCGGGGGAGCGCGCGTGGGGCCCGCCGGGACGGGGGATGGCGGGGGGGGAGTCCCGGCCCGGCCGTCATGTTGAGTGTGGCGGGAAACGGCGGGAAGGCCCTGCGCGCTCCCCCGGCCCGCGGGGACTGTCAGCGTCTGTCAGCGCCCCCGTCCCGCCCAGGGCACCAGGTGGGAACGGGCGGCGCAGGGCGGGGCCGGACGGCTGTGGCGAAGCCGGGGTTCACCACCGCGGTTTTCAGGACCCACCCGCCCGGCCGTGACCGGCAGCGGGGTTGGGGGGCCGGGGTGAGGGCATGACGTCATCACGTACAGCGGGCAGTGGATTCGCGCCGGCGAGGTGCGTCACTTCCGGCGCTGGGCGGGGCCGTGAGGGGCCCGGGGTAGTCCCGCCCCGCCGGGACATCTCTGCTTGGGGTTATCGTGTTTTCCCGCGTTTCCCATGGGAATTAGGAAGAAATGTGCTGCTCTGCAGCGGCTGAGCGTGAGCCAGCAGTGTGGCCAAGAAGGCCAGTGGCATCCTGGCCTGTATCAGCAATAGTGTGGCCAGCGGGACCAGGGCAGTGACTTGTCCCCCCTGCGCTGGGTGCTGGCGAGGCCACACCTCGAGGGTTGTGTCCAGTTCGAGGCCCCTCAGGACAAGACACACATTGAGGGGCTGGAGCGGGTGCAGAGAAGGGCAACAGAGATGGGGAAGGGTCTGGAGCACAAGCCTGACCAGGAGCGGCTGAGGGAGCTGGGGGGGCTGAGCCTGGGAAAAGGGAGGCTCGGTGGGGGGGGACCTTCTCGCTCTCTACAACTCCCTGAGAGGAGGCGGGAGGCAGATGGAGGTCGGACTCTTCTCCAGGCAACCAGCGGCAGGGCAAGAGGACACAGTCTTAAGCTGTGCCGGGAGAGGTTTAGGTTGGACATCAGGAATAATATCTTCACAGAAGGGGTGATTTGGCATGGACTGCCCAGGGAGGTAGTGGAGTCACTGTCCCTGGAGGTGTTTAAGAAAAGGCTGGATGTGACACTCAGTGCCATGGTCTAGTTGACATGAGGTCATAGGTGGACTGGATGATCTCGAGGGTCTTTTCCAACCTAATTGATTCTGTGGTTCTGTGAAATCATTGATGGGGCCTGACAGGAACCACCTTTGCACAGCCTGGGGCTGGACTCCTTCCTCACTGGCCAGGGAGCACCCCCTGTGTCCATACCCTCCTTTGAAATACACCTTGATTACTTTCTTACCCTTCCCCCGTGCTACTTTCAGTCCAGTTAATGCACATTTTCATTTCCCAGTATTCTTTTATTCCTCTAAAAACTTCCAAGCAGTACTACAGGAACACCACAGCTATGGCAGCGTGATCCTGAACCACGTGAGACACCGGATAAAGGTGTGCAGGACACGTTCAAGCCTTGGAGAAAGCCACCATGGCTTTTGAGGCTGCTGCTCCAATGCACACACCTTGGAACTACCTTTTTCTGTCGTGAATCCTGATGTCAGGCTCTGTCTTCGTGTTTTTATATATTTCTTACCTTAAAAAGTTATTTCTGGAGTATAACAGTAGCTATGAGATTCTCCCCCGCACACCTCAAAGATTCCTGCTATTTTAAATTCAGAACACCACCAGATCTTCTTGGCATTTCAGTCCCCCAGAAACTCAGAATCAAAAGAAAAAAAAAAAACCACCAAACCATAGACACTTTCCTAAACGTTAATTGCATTTTCCTTTCGCAGTCTCCAGAACAGGGTTTGATTTTGCGTTTGTATCCTGTTGCCCTCCTGTGGTCAAACCTCACCAAGCCCGGGAGCTGTTCTTAAAGCTCTGTCTGCACGCCCTTCAAACAGGCTGAATTATTTCGTGTGGATTTAGTGAAACAAAAGTCTTTCCCCAGATTCTTTCCCCTCGCTGTTTGTTTGGTGGAGCTCACCCTTAACACAGGTTGAGAGATCTCACCCCGCTCATTCCTCTCACGCCGCGGTGGGATTGGCTCCTCTGAATGATTCGCCTGTTTTTCCTTTGAACCAGAGACAAGGTTTTCACACTGGAGTCCAGGGAGACTCAACAAAATGCCTTCATCACTCCAGAGCCTCTCAGGTTCAGCTGCCCCTTTGTTCAGCTCAGTTCAAAACCTGCCACTTATTTCCGTGTGATGAGAGGTTTCAGAGAGGCTCAGGGTGCCATGCCCTGCACACTGTAAATTGCAGGATCAAAGCCTGGATTATCTCCTGTGGGCCCCGGAGGTGACTCACCAATACCATCATAAGACAATTTACTTCAAAACACCTACAGTACTTAGCTAAGTTTTAGAGTTGTATAACACCGTGGGTTGTTGATTTGATATTTTGTCACTTCCTTTTTATTCTCCTGCCGTTCTTCCTAATCGTTGGAACTTAGTTTGTCAGTTTATACCAAGCTGGAATTTAGCTGGCAGGATAATTGGATCTCCTAGCACAATGTCATATTAAGTAGGAATCATGGATAATGACCCTGCAAAATTAGTTAATGGAAAAAATGTTTAATTGCTGCTTGAGTGATATCGATCACATGCAGTTATTCTACCTATGTATTTCTGTGTTCCATACCACTGGAACCTGGACAGTACAGGGACTTGTGCTTATTCAGCAGCAAAAATTCACACTTCTCCTTGCTGAGTGTCCCGAGGTTTCTGTGGGTCCTGACCTTGAGTTTATCACGGTTCCTCTGGAAGGTGCCTCCATCAGCACTTCCCCAAATTAAGCACTTTGTGCTACCCTCCACGTCACTAATGAAGCCATGGGGTGACATGAACCCCAACAGATTCCCTGTTGATTACCAGCTGTCAGCTGGACCCCAGGCCACTTGTTTCTACCCTCTGAGCTCAGTGGTCAGGCTGGTTTCCAGCAGATCTGACTGTGTTTGCCCAGCCCTCACTCCAGTGTGCTCACAGGAGTGATGTCAAAAACCTCACTGAAGTCCAGGCAGTTCACATCTGCTGCTTTCCACATTCCCCACAGCCTCTTGTCTCAGCCCAGAGGGCAGCTGTAATTGTCATCCTGTGACTGATTAAGATTCCTGGCTCTTTCTCCTCTTATGTTATTTCCAACTGAGGAGCTCATAATTTTCTGCTATTAATCCCAAAGAGCGTGACCTTGTATTTCGCAGCACTGAATTTCAACCCCTTTCTACTATTCCAGTCCTCAAGGCTGGCAGCTTTTCATCTTCTCTAGAATACTATGATCCTTCCCTGTATTTTAAATGACTCTCAACTTTGATGGCAAGTTGACTCAGAATAGGGAGTTTGAGAAATTACACCATGAAAGGAAGGAGACTTGGCATGGATTTGGCTCCAGGGTAGTAGTGTTCTGTGTTGAGCTACAGAAGGATTTTTAGTGAAAAATTTTTTCTTCCTTGCAATCCCCAGTGCATGGGAAAATCATTTCCAAAAGGTATATAGGGAGTGAAGGGAGTGTGACCTAGAAAAACTAGTAAGATGCATGTGTCAAATCCAGTTAATTTTTTTTACTAATCATACTGATCTATATATATAAAATGCTGAACACTTATCTTCCCTGTGCTTGGCCTTAAGCCACGTTCTCCATCAAAGGCAAAGAGACCCTGCTGACACTTTCCTGGTGAGTAAATCAGTCATGAGAGCAACATATTTCTTCTCCAACAAGAAAGCCATGTATCTGAAACTGGGACTCCTGGGTTTTCCAGACCTCAGCATATTCTTGAAACAAAGGTATTCAGGCTCCATCCTGCTTTCTCCCTTGCCTGCCTGGCAAGCCCTCTGGGGGCTGCTGCTGTCCACCTTCATCCTCTTTCCCAGTGTTTTTCCCAGGAGCACTGCAGTGAGTGGGGCACAGGGCCTTTCACCCTGTCCCTGCACACCCACTTGTGCACTGGACCCTTCACAGCTGCCCATCCTTCCTGCAGACGTTTCCTCTCTTACCAAATGTGAATGAGGCAGTGCAGTAATTTTATGCAAATCCATGTGCAGATTAAAAAATTAATCAAATTCTGAAATTTTCATTTAAAGAGATTAGTCTTGAAAAATCCCCCATCTAATCCTCCCAGAATAGACACTTGGAACAAGCCTTCCCCGCTTTGTTTCCCTCCTGGGTTCAGTGCATCTCCTGGAAAAATTTTCTCGTAATGCTTTTGGGACCACGTGGAGCAGCGAGTTTGAGTTTCAAGCGGGGCTCACCAGGCAAATTAAAGTTGATATATCAAACGATAAAAGAGATGTGTCAGTAAGTGGGAGCAGGGGAGTTTGAGGCAGTAAAATCCCAGCTCTGTTGTACTTCGTAGGTGAACTCCCCTGGTGTTGCAGGAGAAATGGGAGCACTGAGGCTCAGTGAGTGTAATGTTAATTTATGTACCGAGGGGCCAGAAGAAAGTCATGCAGCAAGAAAAACGAGGAGCAAGAGACGCTGCTAAAACTTGCTGTGTCTGGGAGTTTACTGCTATAATCTGTCTTTTAGAGCTTGAGCTCAAAATTATCCTCAGGCAATTGGGGGTTGATCCAGTGCCATCTCAAATGTTTTCCAAGCCCCTCAAGGATTTTGGAGTTGGCCCCGTGCACGGTGGGCCAGCCACCAATCCCTGCCACACCGGGGGAAATCCAGAGACATCCCAATGACATTAAAACTAACATAACTTAGGCCCCTGAATCTCTCAGCTGAATCAGACATTCTGGTGCATGAATATACAGCATCCTCTGATCTCGCAGCACCTGAAATGCTCAGGATGTGTCTGTGGTTGGGTTGGCCTGCAACAAGCTCAATTACCCCAACTTCAA